CCTACACACATAGACATACGGACAGAAGTGCAAAGCCCAGTTTTTCCAACTCGATAACGCATAGAACACCAAAATTTTGATAAATCTGCATTTATTAATTTTGCCCGATTTTAATAAGTTCCTATACTCCGTATATGCTGAAGTACTGAGGTGTAAAACGATGAAAACTGTAAAAATTTCATGTGATTTTTTTAGCACGATTACAATACTTCCTCTATACTCTGTATACTAGAAAGTAAAAGTACTAAAATATTCCGCACTATTATACACATATTGTTTGCTTTTCACTTGGTGCACAATTCTTTGTTCTACGAGATTCTATTCTATTTTTAAAAGTTTAAGTAATTAAAAATTAAAAAGTAAATACGTTTTTATTATTTAATCTAAAGAATAAATCTTCTCCTAAGTGGTAGAGTGTGTTACTTTTAATACGGGGTGTGTTTTGGCAGTTTGTAATTTGTTATTGTCTGTAGATGGGGTAAGGGGTTTGGCAGTTTGTAATATATTTTTGTGTGTATGGGGTAGGGGTTTGGCAGTGTGTAATATGTTGAGTTGTGTGTGTGGGTCGGGGTTTATAGTGTGTGATAGGTTATTGTATGTAAATGGGGTAGGGGGTGGCAGTGTATAATATGTGGTGATGTGTGTATATGGTAGGGGGTTGGCAGTATGTAATATGAGGTCGTGTCTAGATGGGGTATGGCGGTTGGCAGTGTAATATGTTGTGGTGTGTGGATGGGGTAAGGGGTTTGGCAGTGTGTAATATGTTATTGTCTGTAGATGGGGTAGGGGGTGTGTGCAGTGTATAATATGTGGTGGTGTGTGTGTGGTAGGGGGGGGGGCTTGGCAATGTGTAATATGTTGTGTTGTGTGGATGGGGTAGGAGAATAGTTAGCAGTGTGTAATATGTTGATGGTAGGGTGTAATATGTGGTGGTGTGTGGATAAAGTAGGGGTTGGTAGTGTGTAATATTTTGTGGTGTGTGGATGGGTTAGGGGGTTGGCAGTATGTGATATGTGGTTGTGTGTAGATGGGGTATGGCGGTTGGCAATGTAATATGTTGTGGCGTGTTGATGGTGAAAGCGAGTAAGGGAGGGCTGGTATTGTGTCGTATTAGAGGTACTAACATATAGCGTGTACATGCGACATGACATCTCTAGGTATGGTTGTGCGTCCCTTTATGGTACGTTTTTTTAAGCATGAGTTTTGGGTTGATGATATTATGATATTATGACAACTGTAAGCCTAAGTGTGGCTTGTGAATGTTTACATTGAGTGCTCTACCACTGGACCACGCCGTCCCACACATGTATCGCTTGTTCCCGGATTGACCAAGAATCAGTCCATAGCACGAAAAAGTATCTATGACGCGATTGATTCTATATTTAGCTATCATAATTTTCCCTGCCGTACATATAGTTTTTTAAAAATTCCCCATCATACGGATTTGCTTCACTGAACATTTATGCAATAATATGAAGGGCATTGTGATACTATACTTCCTAGACTGTTTTGATTCAAGTTCTAAATATCCACCACGCCGTACCCCCTTCATCCATTGATAAAAAAAAACCATCAAGCGTAGAAAACGTATACCCGTGATACTAAGGCTAGGTCTATTATATTGCATTTGTCATACAATTTACTTCCCGGTTCATAGAGATTACTTTTTTGTTCCATAGAAGTACTAATGTGCTGCTTTAAAACACACAAAAATGCAATTGCTATTTCGTGGTTCGCAATAACTTTGTTTTAATAAAAAATATTTGGCATCATAGTTTCATTGTAAACTCGTGTGATGAAGCATTTTTATTTTGTTTTCGAACCTTTGAGCATTTACAATCAGAAGGGTGAAATTGGAGATGAAAACGAGTGACGAAGCATTATACTCCTAGGTCTGAGTAGACGACGTGTATAGCGCCCATGGCGAACGTGTATTGCTCAGACTATAAATGGAACGTGCGTGTTATCATTTCTTCAAAAAACAATAACATCTATGGTGACTTGACAAAGTCATAGATTTTATCCAAAATGAAAAACAGTTTTGATAAAATAAAATGGTGCAATCATATAGTCTATATCAAAATATGAACACTGCAATGGAAAGTGATATAAGTACAATGTCTTAAGCCAGTGCACCTCTTACTAGATAGAATATTATTGATATTAGTATTAATACACCAATATATTTAAACTTGCAACGAGTACACATAATGTCATTATAAAACTTACACCTGCCACTCCTCAATAACACGGTTCGTTACACAAATAGAATAAGCAAAAGAGCTAAAACTATAAATAAAAAGCGGTTGTCACTTACTTCAAAACTCATGATGTGATTTACAGGTAGCCTGACATAATCCACTTTGCTTTATATATGTATATATATATATATATATATATATATATATATATATATATATATATATATATATATATATATATATATATATATATATATATATATATATATGTTACGGTCAAAGCCCGAAGTGCGGCCAAACCCCGGATTGGCCGGCTCTCTTGGCCAAAGCCCGAAGAACTTAGAACTAAGATCGTATTTCGTACATTGGCCAGCCAATGCGCGCACTGGCCGGGACGTACTGGCCAAAGTCCGAAGTGCTTAAACTTGACAGCGTATTTTGTACATTGGCCGGCCAATGCGCGCTTTGGCCGGGATGTCCTGGCCAATGTTCTATCTAGACTAAGTTGTGATCGCATTTTCATTATTCTGGGTGGGTTTTCATTGAGAGTAACGTATTGTTTAGCTCTTGTTTGTATAGCATTCTATATGCAAGGCGACATGGATCAAAAGGGCCGTCAGACCATGAGACAGACATAACAGATGGCTGTCAAAAGAAAAAAATATAAATCCATGTTAATTTCCATATATGGGCTCTCGATAAAATAGTTACTGAGGAAGATCTTCTTAAGAACATTGAACAAGAAATGGAGGTTGCCATAAATGCAACGACATCCTCAGCTAACACATCTACTGACGTGGCGGAACGCCCAGACCAGTTGCGTGACAATAATGTGGCCAACAGATTCTGTATAGTTTGTGAAAAACATTGTAGTGCAGCTCATTCTTGTGGATCCTGTGGCAACGATGTCAATGCTATTTGTGGAATACCCAATGAAGCAGACGAAGGGTACGGAGGGAACATTACCTGGCTTGCAAATTCAAGGTGCTAAGATGCTTAAAACATCAAATTCAAAATTTAAAGATGGTGAAGTGGGTGACAATGTACGCATCCGTTTTCCAGATGTTAACATCCCTAGCCAGATGATCTTCTAAATAAGACTTTGGCCGGTCCACCATGGCCAGTCCGCGGACTGGCCGGCCAAAGGCCGAAATGAAGAGCTATTTCAGACTTTGGCCGGTCCACAATGGCCAGTCTGTGGATTGGCCGGCCAAAGGCCGAAATCAAGCAAAGTTTCGGACTTTGACCGACCTATGGGAGGCGATATTGGCCAATGCGCGGATTGGCCGGCCAATCCTAGCATTGGCCGACTTCGGGCTTTGACCGTAACATATATATATATATATATGTGTGTGTGTGTGTGTGTGTGTATTTTGCATCTAGAGATTTACATATCAGCAATATATTTAACGTTTTAAAATTAAGTTTCATGCATATTTTACAAGGGTACCCAAGATTTTCATGTTATTGTTAATATTCATATCGCCATGTTAGTGTCATCTTTTACACACACCCTTTTATCACGTAGTAGATTCTGGTTGAAAAGTTTCTATTATACAAGCTAGTGTCTCGCTTATTTTTACCAACATATTAACTACTTATATCAATTCGCTTATTCTCAGCTTTTCTTCAAATATTGCTCAGTGTATTGCAACATTTAGTCTCCCTTACCCACACGTTTTTCTCCCTTACACACCCGTTTGTCCCCCTTACACACAAGTTTGTCTCCCTTACACACATGTTTTTCTCCCTTACACACACGTTTGTCTCCCTTACACACATGTTTTTCTCCCTTTCACACACGTTTTTCTGCCTTACACACCCGTTTGTCCCCCTTACACACAAGTTTGTCTCCCACACACATGTTTTTCTCCCTTACACACAAGTTTGTCTCCCTTACACACAAGTTTTTCTCCCTTACACACAAGTTTGTCTCCCATACACACAAGTTTGTCTCCCACACACATGTTTGTCTCCACACACGTTTCTCTCCCTTACACACACGTTTGTCTCCCTTACACACAAGTTTGTCTCCCTTACACACAAGTTTGTCTCCCACACACATGATTGACTCCCTTACATACAGGTTTGTCCCCCTTACACACAAGTTTGTCTCCCACACACATGTTTGTCTCCCTTACACACAAGTTTGTCTCCCACACACATATTTGTCTCCCTTAGTTCTTGTCCTTCACGCGTCACATCACCAACCAAAGTAAACATGATCTACACTAGCGCTTGGTTACGTTAGATAATTATACGTACACAGGATGTTTTGAAAGTGAGAAACCCCGTGCGACATAAAATCACGTGATTATCTAAAAATAATTATTATGTTACACCCTTGAAATGCGACTTCGTGTGTTTGGGTTACAATACTTTGACACAATTAACACCGGTAACGTTATAAGAGAGTTAAAATTTAGTTGCATGAATATCACAAACCCACATGCAAAAACAAAAACACACATAAAACTTAATTTTTTTATAATAAAAAAACTTTCAAAAAGAACTGAAAATAAGAATATAAAACTAAATATAATTTCTTGAAGAAAGCATTGGTAGCTCAACAGTTTTCTTAAATAAGCTAACTAGGACTACACATACATTTTTGCCGACGTGTTTTATCAGGCAAATAAATTCAAAACAAAATGTGTGTGTTTATGTATGTGTGTGTGTGTGTGTCTGAATCTAGAGATCAGCACAGCAGTAATATATTATGTAGCCGTTTTAAAATTATAATTTTATGTAGAATTAATATGCATATTATTACGACAGTTAGTTTTATTTGAAAAAAAAAACCATTTGAGAATCAGTGTTCTAAAAATAGCAATCTGTTACATACTGGGATGCATTTTAAAATCAGTGCGTCGTAGAAATTTTCCCAACGCCATAACAACTTCTAATGGTATTTGGGCTTTGCCGAGTGGCGTTAGACATCCGGTTTCCATTAGCTTGAAACATGAACTTTACAGAACGGTATATAATGACCTCCAAAGGCTCAAATGCATCGACTCTTGTGACAGGGACAGTAACTGCTGGATAAAGCTTTTGTAAGTAGCTTGTTCAGAAATTGTTGTCTCATGTAGTATTGCAGATTGTATGTGGAATTGGAAAGAGGATAGTTAAATATAGTTAATATTTTAGTAAATTGTATTAGTGAATCAAATGTTTAACACACTGATCTAGTATAAAAGTTACTTGAGTGATTCGATTCAGCCGATTAGGTTTTTACGTACATTTTTGCTTACTTATTTTATCGGGAAAAGAAATTTCAAAACAAAATGTGTTTAATAAATAAAGCAAAAAACAAAAATTCGCTACACTTATCCTCTGCTGCATAACATAGCTATAAAGATAATCTAGACTTGATATCGCAAATTGATAAAAAATAATGGGACTTGTACGATCGAGTCCAACATTTTTTTTGTCAGTAAACATTTTACATCACTTATAATGATTTCAGCGTGTTTTCGAAATTTACTGTTGGTCAGCGAAAAAGACGCGAAATGTTCTATGAATAAATACGAAAAGTATTAACGTCTATTTGCTTATATATAAAAAACTACAACAATAATATAGGAATATATACACATTCCAGCTGGATTTATTTCTTTTTATTGTAATTTTCAAGTAAATTTCTGCAACCATTCGTAAGGAAATGTCTGGGAAATCTGTCTTGTGCTTCAGACTGCTACTATCATGTAAGTGCACAGCATGTTTTGTTGTATTACCTAGATAATTTATTTGTAACATTGTATTTGTGTGTTTTGCTTTAATAAATCAAAATATACTCAGTAAAATTGCACTGCAGATGAAGTATCATTATGTCAAATTACACGACACACTAAAAAGATAAAAAAAATAACTTTTACTAGCAAATAGAAAAAAACTACTGTTCAAAAATAACTTTCTCCACTTTCAAAGCTTTAATCTCTACCCTATTTTTCTTGCCTATTTATACTTGTTTATGGATAATTGTAGAATTTTTATATTAAACTATAACGATTGCATAAGCTTTGCAAGTAATGATTGTTTTTCATACACCAAAAACAAATAAACAACTGAAATGTATGTTGCATGCCGGCTATAAATAGTTTTACTAGATTTCCTGGCTAGACCAATTAAAGTTAGGAGTACCAGTACACAGAGAATCATATAGCACATTTTTAAGAAAAAATAATTTACATTTTATAATGTATGACTTTTCGAGCTTTTAGTCAGTAGCGTCAACATTAACACTCTCTCGTATGTACAAAATTAGAGAAAGTCTTGTAATCGTGAAAAAAAAATCGAGATATTTGCAAATCTCGACGTTTTACACCTCCCTGAGTCGGAAAAACACAGTTTTGCAATCTTGTCCGTATGTCTGTGTGTGTGTGTGTGTGTGTATGTGTGTCTGTCTGTCTGTGTGTCTGTAAACACGATAACTTGAGTACCGTTTCAGCTAGGTTGATGAAATTTCATATATAAGTTTTATATCAAAATCGTAGATTCGTATCAACTTTTGAGCGATCTCCGATAACCGGAAGTGAAATTTTTTAGACTTTCAATTTTTCAAAAGCCTATAACTTGAGTACTATTTCAGATAGATAATTGAAATTTCACATGTAAGTAAAAGATCTAATTCTCTGCCTTCTTTTAAATTTTGAGTCATTCCCGTTTACCGAAGTAGTAAGTTTTGCTTTTTCCGATTTCTCAAAAAAAAAACGCATGTGAATGTATAAAGTACTAATAATATTCCTCACTATTATGCACTTTTTATTAGGCGTTCACTTGGTTTGCAATTCTTTTTACTTTCTCGTATATCCGAAGTATAGAGAAAGTATTGTAATTGTGCACAAAAATAACATGAAATTTTGACAGTTTTTACTGTTTTACTCCTCAGTCCTTCATCACATCCTGAGTATAGAGGACTTATTTTAATAAGGCAAAAATTATAAATACAAATATATAAATTTTTTGGCGTTTTATGCGTTATCGAGTTGTAAAAACTGTACATTGCAATTATGTCCGTTGTCTGTGTGTGTGTGTGTGTGTGTGTGTGTGTGTGTGTGTGTGTGTGTGTGTGTGTGTGTGTGTGTGTGTGTGTGTGTGTGTGTGTGTGTGTGTGTGTGTGTAAACACTTGAGTACCGTTACAGCTAGGTTGATGAAATTTCATATACAAGTATTTTATCAAAATCGTAAATCCTGATCAACTTTTGAGCGATTGCCGATAACCGGAAGTGGTACTTTTTCTACTTTGAATTTTTAAAAAGCCTATAACTTGAGTACTATTTCAGATAGATAAATGAAATTTCACATGTAAGTAAAAGATCTAATTCTCTACCTTTTGTCAAATTTTGAGTATTTTCCGATGACCGGAAGTACTAATTTATGCTATTTCCGATTTCTCAAAAAACGAATGTAAATTTATAAAGTTCTAATAATATTCCGCACTATTATGCACGTTTTATTTGGCTTGGCGTTCACAGGTGTGCTATTCTTTTTTCTATGAGATTTGATTCTATTTTAAAAGTTTAAGTATTTAAAATGGATTAAAATTCATGTCTATATCCCGAGTTCCCATCCCCTGTTTTTTTATAAAAGAATATTCGAGAAAGTTTAAGGGAGACCGCTCACAGTTTATTTCTACGAGATTTCGTTCTATTTTTAAAAGTTTCAGTATTTAAAATGGATTAAAAATCATGTCTATATCCCGAGTTGCCATCATATTCATATAAGAATATTCGAGAAAGTTTAGGAGAGATCACTCCCGCTTTATTTTTCGTTAATAGTTGCATTGTACATAAATCTTTTCATTGAATAAAATGCATAGATTGAACATAAAGACAATTTGTTGATGATTCTTACTTTATTGGGAAAAGCTGTATTTATTTTACAACAAAGTATAAATAAAGTGGAACTTTGCTGCAAGTTAATTTACAATGAAGTGACACTTTTGATTTCATGGCAAAATTATGGCAATTGGGTGTTTTCAATTAGTCTAATTGCTAACAGTTTAAATTAGACCCCTGGTCGAAAAAAATATATATGTGCTTCTAATATATGCAGTAGAATCACAAGAATGGGAAAGGAATGAGTTCCATAAGGTTGACATCATTTAGGGGGTGACACCAGGTCGAAAAAACGTATAAACTACTGTGAAAATAATGGTTTATTCATTTAAGATAAAACAAAATATAAACGATGAAGGGTAACAACAGAAAATGCTAAATTGTTACAGGATGATGTGATGACACTCTCAGATAACGCATCGGGTGACATCCGCTCTTGTGACGCCACTGATTATATGTAAAACATCGAACATAATGCTATCCCATGCTTCTCAGTTCGACATCTCGTGGTTCCACTCAAAAGAAAAATATAACGCAAATTGTATCGTGTTTATGTAAACAGTAAACAAGGAAAGATAATAGGATAGAGAGAACAGAAAATGTTTGTCTTTTATAGTTGCCATAAATCAGAATCTCCAGAGCTGCAGACAAAAAATGCAGAAAGTACAATCTGGGTTTAGGAAAGGCAAATCATGCATTAGCTATACATTTACCTTGCGACAAGTAAAAGAGCCCCCTCAATTATCCATTGACTTTGAACAGACTTTTGATACCGTAGGCAAAATCTACAACTGAAAAATCTTACTATGGCATGGTTTCCAAGAAAAAGTCAGAAATGCCATCCAAATCATATATAAAGGGTTCCAATATAAGGCTATATGTGGTAGCCTTACCACTGACCCATTTAAGCTTTGATACATAATAAAGATGTTTTATTAGAGAAAGCTACTAAGCGACAACTTAAGCTCACGAAAGGGAAGAGGGAGCAATAGATGTTTTCGATGGGTTTAGGATTGAAAGAAAAACCGCGTTATCTTATTCTTCTCTTGCCTAACAATTCATTCAATTTAACTACATTTCTCTTTGTCAATTTTTTCCAGGTTTTCTGTTAATTGTTGTGGAATCGGGAAGTAAGTTTAAAATTTTTTCTATCGCATTGCATCAACATTCTAGATAAAAGTAAAACAAACCTGGTATCCTATATCTAACTTAAAACACTCACAGCAGTGTACATAGTAATGTATTCTTTGTGCATAATTACACATTTCAGCCTATCCCCATGAAACATTTAGTAAGCTGCTGAGTGCCCCCCTGCGAAGGTTTATGGAGAAACTTCTAAATAACAGAGTGTTGGCTCCACTATTGTAGTTTGTGGTTGGACGCCTCGATTTACTCTGCCTTAGCATCTGTGGTTCGATGCTCGGGGGTCCTGCACAGGGGTAAGGCTTCTACTTGAATCAACTGCACCGAGGCGCCCTCCCGCACTTAGATAATTGCGTAGCCAGCACAATCCCGGACTTGCGTATGAACACTGTATTTTTAAGAATCCGGAATGACATGAATCTTAGCCAATTTTGTGTTTGTTTTTACAGCTACCCAATACCCTCCCGACCTCCCTCCAGTGGTTGTTGTATACAACAAAACTGTGACGGATGGTCAGACGATACAAGTCAACACAACCACCACTAGAGATGTGGACATTGCATGTACAGTTGAAGGTGGTAGCCCAGCCGTGACCAATGTCACATTGACTTGTGATGGTTCATCCACGACCAGTAACGGATACAGTGGATTCTTTACTCTCACGTTTGGCAACAGCTCTCGAAATGTGAGATGTACATGTTCTGCAGATCACGTGACTGGACTATACTCCAAAAAGACTTCATTCACCTTCATTACAGGTAAGTAGTTTAATTGTTTTCCTTTTATTTTTAACTTTTGACCTGAAAGATGAAACTTGTTTACATGAAGTCATTTCACATTCAATTCAGGTGGTAAGCTGTTTGTCTCTTGTCGTTTTATTCCAAATCTTTTATCCTGAAAGCTTAAACTTGTTTACATGAAGTCATTGAACCTGAAGGCTTCACATGATTTACTTTACTTGCAGTATGTTTTACCTGGTATCTTCTTTCTTAAGTTGTTACGAGCCGACCCGCTGCGTATCATACGCCGCTATTTAGTTGTTTTTTTCTACTTTTCAGTAATTTATAATTTGTGAATTCGACAGTACCAATGCTGCCATTGAAAATATTTGCTTAAAAACACTACCCCCCCCCCCCCCACGTGAAAGCAGCCTCCTCTTAGTTACCTCCTCTAAGTTTAAAATCGTTTCAAACTAAATTATCTGCCCCTAATAGCCGTCACCAAACCCGTCTCTGTGATTGTAAAATGTAAACAGAGTGAACACCGCTCACCAGATCATGTGGGGGTGGGGTGGGGGTGGCGCGCTTACAGCTTGTTTTCTAACGGCTCCCAGAAGAGAATTATATATATAGATTTTTTGTCCTGAGTCATTTTGTCCGTGAGATATTCCTTTATATAATCATTCTATCTGAAGTCTTTTTATTTGAAGCTTTTTAAAACTGAGATTTAATTGCTTAAATTTCTTTAAACCAAACATTTTAAAGTGAATTTTTTATATATTTTATATGACAGACTCCTTAATTTAATAGGTCACTAATTAGATAATGTCGCTCTTTATTTTCTGACAGTTTATAAAGTTATTTTAAGACGTGGAAGGAAAACATTTGAAAAAAAATTATTCTAAAAAATAGAGCAAACCAACCTTTGGTAAATGAAAGCAGCAGTTTTGCAGCTCTTCGACCGCTTCAAATTTGAATTTAAAATAAACAGTTAACAAATTTCGATTAGGTAGTATAGTTGTTATATGTAAAAAAAATAATATTGAAATATGGACTGTGGCTCTCTATTTCTACCTAGACAATTGTCTTTACGATGTGAAAAACATCTGTTTGAATATATAAGTGTTTAAATGTTGTAAGTGGAATTAAAACAATTAATTTATATTTACTCATGCAGTAACCTCAACTCAAATTACCATATACAGTAAAATTTAGTTTGTTGTGTCCCATTTTGTTATTTTGATCTAATGATAATGGCTAATTTCTCTCTTGTGTTAGACAACTAAATCAACTGCTGCCTTGTAGTTTATTCTTGGTCGGTCAAAGGCTATGGAAGCAAATCCGAAAAGAAAAGCAGGCTGAAATCGGAGTCAATGGCCTCAATGGCGCATAACCAGTTGACACATAATCCTTACTTGTGATGGAAGCATGGTCGAGTCGGCAAAGCTCATGGTTGATAAATTCGAAAAAAGTCAAACCCTCTGGCAGATAAGGCTCGATCCCTCCCAACACTAAATATTAAGAACGAAGAAGAATAAGAAGTTTAGATTAATTTAACACATATATTCTAATTATTTTCTACTGACCACATCAAATAACTAGAATATGACTAATTCTATTCCTAGCACTGCAAAACACACCCGACCATCCTTCTATGACAAAGAATGCTTCGAACATCAAATAATTTACAAATTTGAAATAGTGTCATTTTTGTTTTGTTTTCCAGGCCCTTCATACCCTCCCAGCCTCCCCCCAGTGGTTGTTGTATACAACAAAACCGTGACGGCTGGTGAGACGATACAACTCAACACATCCAACACTAAAGTGAACATTGAATGTACAGTTGAAGGTGGTAACCCAGAAGTGTTCAGTGTTACCCTGGTGTGTGGTGATAAATCCAGCACCGTGTTGGGAAACAGCGGGATGTTTACCCTCACCTACGGCAACCAAAAAATTATCCCATGTGTTTGTTCTGCTTTTCACTTTTCCTTATACAACAAGACAACGTCCTTCACCTTAAGCACAGGTAACATAGCTATACACATTTATTTCACATTTATACACACTTATTACACACCTACACACATTTTATTCGTATTCAACACATTTATTTCACATTTTACACACGTATATCACGTTTAATCATTTTTATTTCTCACTTACACACATTTATTTCGTATTCTACACCTTTATTATTACATTTATTCCACATCTATACCCATTTATACACATTTATTTCACACTTATACACAAATATGTTACATTTACAACATTTATTTCACATTTATATACATTTTTTTTCACACTTATACACTTTTATTTTACATTTAAAACCTTTATTTCACATTTATACACATTTATTTTACACTTATACCTGAGCAGTTTTTACCTGAAGTGTTTTTGTTACGTGTTTTATCGTAAGTCGTTTCATCAAGCCATTTTATCATGAAATCTCCAGTAAAAATATCTGGTAGAACAATTTTAGTTTTTATTCTACAAACATTTTAGTTTTATCATAATTAGCTTTCGTTTTCTTGAACACGTATATACTATGTATATCTATTTTATTCTACGTACTTCAGTTAACAATGCCAAAAACCAAAGTCTGGGCCCATCTATCGTTTGGAACATCTCATTGCTGGCACTTGTGATCCTGGCAAAGACAGCCATACTTTAAACTACAGCTGGGGTCAGGACATCAAATGTCTTAGGAGACAATTGCTTGCATAATAAATAATCGAATTATTCCTTTGTAACACCAGTTGTAGAATACTATTTCGGTAGTGTTTTTATTTATTGTTTTACTACATTGAGTACGCACATACAAAATTTCAGATCTATTAGAATACATTTTAATATATTTTTACATTTAATAAAATTGTCCATGTAATCGACAATAAGCAACGCATGCATATGGTATAATGCTACTTATGTAAAGGTATATAGTAATAATATTTTACTCCAAGTTTTAGTAATCAAAAGCTTTAAATTACAGAAACCTTTGTATTTTAACGCTTATCATGTAATTTTTACCCAATATTTTGGTCGGTAATATGCTTAAAATCAAATGTGTTTTTTGAGCAAAATGTATCTTCATATCGTTTACATTTTACAGCAATAAGACAAGAGTTTGAACAAAATATGTTTTAGATTATTTTATAAATCAATGTTATACCCCTCCCCATTCCATCCCCCATGTTTCGTTTTGCGATTATGAACAATTCACTCTACTAAATTAAAAAAAAAAACACTTGATGCTAGAATTAAAAAACACAAACCAGTGTTCAGAATATTAAATAAAGAATATACTTTTGTTTCCCTGGAACGAGGCCGGTCTTCACATAGATATTTACAACGGAAATCTCTGAGCAATCTTAAAACGGATTTGGTTTGAAACATCAGCGAAGAAATGTATTATTTTTATAGGATGCGAAGTTAATAAAATAAAAATTATAGCCTTTTAAAAATTGAAACATTTTGAAAGCTTTTTGAAGTGAGAGGATTAGAGAGAAAGAAAAAAAAAGCAGGGAGAGAGGATCTATATATACCTCAATAGTCTTGGAAAGCTGGTTCCAAATGGTTGTTGCCAGTAAGCATATTATTACAAATATTGAATATTGATATAACATTTGTTACGCCAGGGTTCGATTCAACTCAACAACTATTCGTGACACATATAGTATACTTTTATTTGGACTCAATTCTTCACATAACAGAGTAGCCCTCGCCCTAACCGCTACCAACTAACCCTGACAACCATTCACTCCAACTTTTATACCGCATTCGACCTTGGGATAACAATACATAAACACACCGGGGTTAGCAATACTCTAGGGTAAACTCAACTCACACACGCACTCTCCCCTAATTCTAGATTATTCTATCCTATTTCTATATAACCTACAACTGACCCGTAACATCATTTGTGAAATATGTACAAATTACTTTTATTAGGCTAGAAATATGCAAACAAATTATTACATGTAATGTACTAGTAATTTAAGGTAACCCTTTTTAAATAAATGGATTAGTATAGGTGGTGATTGGGGATGTGATATCATTTAATATATTAATAAACCACAAGACTATATCCCATTGTCCGCTATTGTGTATTTTATCATGGAAAACAATTGTTGTGATTTTGTTTACTTTCACTGGCCACTCCGGTTTACTTCAAGGAGGGGCCGAGTGCTTTTTTTTTTAAAAATATTTGAAATAATAAAATAATTAAAAATGGCTTTTCAACGACTTATATTCAAACAAAAGTAAGAAAATGAGTGTAATCGCTTGCATTCTAAATGTTAGTAAAGGTATACAATAGATAATATAGTGCCCCCCGCTTTATTTAAATAGTATGTTTTATTATATATTTATAGAAAATCATTTATTTTCTCCTTTTTAGTGCATTATTACATAAAAGCTTGTTATTAAAACGTGTTTAATTGAATTTGTGTTAATTACCTATAAGTAATGTAGTGTTCAGAGCGACCGATGCAAGGGCAGCAATCTCTGTAAAAATATTGACAGCAGCAGTTAAAACAGAGTTCTCTACATTTGTAGTGCTACCAAATAAATAAAAAAAAACCAATAAATTAGTCTGAAGTATCTAATTTTATTGAAAATGTGTGTAACATAAAAGAGTGTTTGCTACAGTAGTTGCATTTCATGTGTACTATTCTGTTTTCACTTTAATGAGATATTAGAAGATACGAAGAAAGTCTACCACCCTCCCCCCCCCCCCCCCGAACGAAATGGAATTTATATAGAAAATATATACTTTTATTTCCCACGTGAACCCTTGCTGGTTCCATAGCTAGAAGCTCATTATACTTAAAAGAGAGAATCTTTGAAGTCAAGTATATCATAATAGTTTAGTTTTGGTTGTTTTTTTAACAATAAGCTAACGTTTAAGTTAGTTCTATTTTAAAAGTTTTGTGTTATTTGGTCTGAAGGGTCTAGCGCGTATTAATATCAAACATTGCAAACATACATCCTGATACTGTAACGTCGGGAAAAAAATGAAATAGACAAGAATGCAGTTAAACACAATGTATGTTAGCCAGTGGAGCCACTCAGGCAAAACCCGTTCCTGATATATAGTCCCTAAATGAAGTAGAGTGCATCTTAATCTCTGACCGCGCTATTTACAATGATAGAGTGGCGAGGGATACGCCTTGTCGCTTTCACTTTCTCTAACGTGAGTTGGGTACCCGTCCAAACTGGGCGTACTCAGGGGCATCATACGGACTCCGAATCAAGCCGGTGGTCGGAACTCGAGACTTTCGTGTTGCAGTCAAGCGGAACTGTAACGCCACAAATTCAGACATGATAGTGGAGTGTGGTCCCCACACAAAAACCCGATAATCGTAAAAAATAAATAAAGTAAGCTTTTCTGAAACAATTTATTCAACATATTCATCTTTATTAATTTTATCTATAACATTTTGTCCTGTAATGAACAAGTGTATTCAACATATTATTCATCTCTCCTAACTTTATCTGTAACGTTTTGTCCTGTAATGAATCTCACATCTTTACCACTTACATAGCTATGCTGCAAAAAGCGGTTGGACGGGTTTCACCCAACGTATTTATCTCTCCCGAATTCTCTACCAATATATAGGTCGTTAAATCTCCCAACTTACGCCCAAGTACACTTTCTCATTACATAAAAGATACGACGAAAAGCGGGGGCGCGGGTTTTACATGTTCATTCCACACCGATCCACATGACAGCACAACCATTGAACAGATTTGCTTTACCGAAATACACCCAAGCGTAAACAACAATTAAATAAGGTCTAAACCTAGGACAAGCCTCTGATATTTGTTGTGTGTTAAACAATTTTTTTTCCCTGTTTTTTTTGTGTGTCTAAACTAGATCATGCTTTTATTTTAGAAAGGCAATCCTAAAAATAAAATAATTTCCTAGTTCTATATAAGGAGCGAAAGTTGTGGAAAACTCTAGTGCTTATTGCAGACCATGGTAGACTAGGCAAGCAATGTGCTTATATAAGTCGATTGGCCGTTGCAGATATAAAAACCATGCTTATATTTTCTCACGGTTGTTGCAAAAAAGATTCCAATTTCATTAATTCATTTATAACTCAATATTTGCACTTATTAAAATATTTATTACTAATTTCTTATGCTATCCTACCCTATCCCTAACCCCAAAACTCTACTCTCAACACACATTTTTAACCGCAAACAGAGTTTCTTCCAGGCATCTCTTTGGGGGGGGGGGGGGGGGGGGGGAGGGGGCTCCGCCACCACGAAGAAAGTCTACCGCCCCCCCCCCGAAAATATCAAGTGCCCCCCCCCCCCCGGAGAAAAAAGTCTGGAAGAAACACTGCCAAATACATCACCTCTCCCCTAACACTTGATCCCTAAACCCTCAGGCTAAGTCCTGACCCTTCCCCTAAATCTAACTCTAATTTAGATATAATGCGTAAATCATAAAACAAGTTAATAAAAAGTGTAGTGACAATTTAAGCGCTATTTCCTTATGTTATCCATAACAATTTAAAATCGAGATAAATCATATATTCAGCTAATAAATAATGCAACACAAGTAGTTTTAATAATCTAAAAGACAGCGAAAAATAGATTATTTTGACACATCCCTTTCCCCATAGATCTATATCTATATATTGCTATATAGTACTGTAGTGTATTATGTATAATGTAATTTTTTTTTAATTTTGTGACCGAACGAAAGGATATTTTTGAAAACTTTCTTCGGCAATATTGTTCTAAATTATGGCAGGAATCTATTGGTAAATGTTTCAAGCCGTTAAGTCGTCTGGTTGCCGAGATATGGGCCAAAAACTGCATTTTTTCGAGGTTTTTTTGGCTTTTCCGGGAAATCCAAGAAGGAATTCCGGGAATTATTTTAGCCCACAATCATCCTCGGAACTTGCTTAACATATTTGCTTTTGGAACTAGTCCTCGATATTGCTTCGTTGAGGAGGAGATACGACTTAAAGCTTTGGACACACATCCATTCATCCATCCATCCATCCAGAAATAACGAATTAATAATCGCAATTGTCAGAATGGAAATTGCGCTAAAAATTACTGTATACAATTAGTCAAACCTCCTTTCGAAAAAATCATAAAAATGTGTATGCTTATAAATAAAAGTTACACATCACTGTTTACCGATTATGCAATCTTCAGAAATCATGAAACTAGGTCTCGAGTACATAGCTTTACATAGCTGTAAACTATCCCATGAATTTTTTTTCTACAACTGCGAGACATTTTACTTTGATATACAAGTAGATGCAGCCTATATGGGATGTACGCATAACACACATTTATGTTGGTGTTGGAACGGGTGAGATATGGCGGGGCATATTACTAGAATGCTTTCACAGGTGAACCGCCAAAACAGCCTGTGACGAAACGACCCAAACAAACCTGTGCCCTACATAACGACCTAGTCAAAAGAGTCCCCACAAAAGATTCCGACAAAAGGACTAAGCAAAACAGCTCCTGACAAATGGACTGTCGACATTTTGGCTCCCTACAAAACAGCTCCTGGTACATTGGCCCAAAACAAATAAAACGCTAACGACGACCACATTGATAACACTAACGAAAATAATGGGATAAAGAGAATGGACAGAATAAAGATTAAAGAACAGCATTTGGTTTTGGTTAGGAAAGGGTTAGGAATTTGGAGATGGTTATGGGGAAGGACAGGAATAGTTATTGGGTATAATATCCTAATATATAAATCCCCACGTTCGCACATCTCTCTCTCTCTTTCTCTGTCCGCAAAAAATTTTCGCCGGACATCACGTCAGAATCGGCAGCGATATATGAAGAACTTTTTACGGACTTTTGTTGAAAATAATATGTTAGATGTTTTAAATGTATAACCACAATTTTAGTTAAAGAAGAAAAATAAAAATTAAAGGCGTATTCGAATGTAGAGAAACAGTATTATTTATGCAACCGGAAAAGCATTAATATATGTGAAAAAGAACGCATAAAACTGTGACGTCACTATTGCTTATACATTAACTAATGACGTCATCTGCCGTGTTTAGAATGAAAAGAAATGAACTATTTCATTCAAATTTGATTTAGATCTACGTACACTATGAAATGTATACAATTCAATTTTTCCGGCCTAAACTCATAACATTTATTTTATGTATTTGGATTCTAGATCTAGAGATTCTAGATCTAGACTAAATCTAAATCTAAATCTACGCAATAACTAGATCTAGACGTAGACGCTAAGATCTAGATTTAGACTCTAACTTCTCTAAAATCAATTCCAAAAATAAATTTCTATATTAGGACTAAACTATTTCAAGACTTATTTATTTTATACAAAATCTTTGTTTGGAACTGGCTAATTTGGGATAAAAAAATTAATTTGAAAGAATAGGCATATTCGCGTAAGTTAAGATTTTAAAATACGTGTTTCATTCTCCGTATATTATAAGGTGCCTAAATAGCGGAGATGTTAGTGTACATTAAACCACGCAGGTGGTGCGGGTTCGAGACACAGCAAGTCAACTTGGTTAATGTATTCTTTTTTATTATGCTCGGGCTAAACTTAAAAAAAAAAATTCTTTTAGGAATCTAGATCTAGATCTAGATTGTCGGTTGTCCGATAGGGCACTTCCCGGCGCCGCAGGCGCTTCAAATTTGGCATGATCTTGCCTTGGTGCGACAGAACACGGGGGCCGGTTGGCCGAAAAGTCTGATGTGGGGGTCAAAACTGACCTCGACTGACCGGTACCTTATATGAGCTATAAATAAAAAAAAAATGTCCACGGAGGAACCTCTTCATAACTCTTGAGGTCGTAGACCGACCTTCGGGCGAATTAATTAAGCATTCAAATTCTCAATGTTTTCGAAAGCCTAAGCGAAGCTGGGCAGCATGCCTAGTATATTTTATAGTGGAGTAATAAAAGAAGGTAGTATTTGAGAGGAGGTGATTGATGTCGGAGCTAATGACCAGGTTTAGGCTAGTGTAGGGGTGAGCAACGTGTTACACCCAGGTAAAGCATGCCATAGATAAAATTAAGGTTGAATTTTAGTTATATGCTTATTTTGAGTTAGGTATTTATATTATTGATAATTATGGGCATATTATTAAACAATTAATACGTACTGGTGGTTTTTATTTTTGTAACAGATATAGAGTATGCTGTGTGTACAATGATCTATTACAATTTCTTTTATTTTTTAACTAATTGTTTTTAGTAAACATTAGATTAACGTTTTGCAATTGTTTGGTATGACGTTGTAAAAAGCTATAATAATACATGATACCATTTCGATATTTTATGTTTGTGTATTTTAATTGTATCGTATTGGGTTGGAGAGGAAAAGTAAGTAACAAGCGGTTTTCTGTTAAATGGTTTGACATTGATGCTTATTATATTTGTGTAACTAACCGTGATAATAAGGAATGGTAGTTGATGTCTATGTTAATTTTTAACTGCTGTTGCTGTTTGAGCTAAACATTGTGTGATTTTCTTTAACTTTTCTTAAAACATTTTGTAACCAAAAAAAAGATATCGGCTTTAACATTTAAATTTAGACATGGCTAAAAATGTCTGGAGCAAGGCCTAGCTGGCAACGGCTTGTTTATTTATAATTTAATAACTTACCTTTATGCACGGCAACACGCTGAGTTGAAGTGCCTGGTGAATTCTACCCCAGTGATAAAACTGGTTTTTCCTGTATCGACATATCTAACTATAACTTTTAAAGTGTTTTTTAACAATAATTGTTGCAAGGCCAAAGCTTAAACGCGGTTGGGAAGATTGAGTGTAGGTGGGACTTAAACCCAGCAGTTGCTGTTTTTCATAGACAGACTACGGCGTCAGCTGCATATTAAACTGTAAAGTGACTCCTAACATTTCTTGACATCTCGACACAACAAAACAGAAGTATTGAACAGAATTCAATCTCGTGAAGTAAAATGTGCTAAAAAAATAGCAACTATTTATTTATTAACAAGATTTGTAAATTTTTTATATATATTTCTTAACAACTATTTAATCTGTCCGGTTTGTGTACAAAGAGAAACATTATAATGCATCTGAACTTATTTTGCACTACTGCGGCGTTCTTTCTTATATCGAGTAAGTTGTTTTTATTTCCGAAATTAGTTGGTTTTGCTTATGAATACATATCGGAACTATGGAGCTTACCAACCCGCCTGTCAACACACACACACACACATACATATACACAGGCACGTACGCACGAACGTACACACACACACAACTATTGTAACCTAACCTAAATGTGTTTCTTTTAGAGGAATGTTCTTGTAAACAAAATGTTTTTATAGTATAAGGTCTTGACTAAAAAATTTTTTACATTCTTTTAAGGTGTAGCTGTTTCGTCAGCTGAAGGTAAGACTAATAAAAGCCTTATTGTCCGCACTGTCCTGATCTACTTTTTCATGTTTAGACTAGACTAGTCTCGAATCTGTACCACCTGCATGGTAACTGTTAGTGTTACACTATCATCTCGGCTAGCTGGGTATGTACAACGAAGAGCAAAATTTATTTGGGTAATTTACTTAGCATCGTATAATATTAATTTAATTAAATTACCAAATAGTATTTAATATTTAATTATATATTTTAGTTTAGCCAATTCTATTGCTAAATAAACATAGATTTATATAAAATAATTATGGCCTGAAATAGTTTAGTATAGAAACTCATTATTCGCTTAGATCTAGAATCTAGATCGAGATCTAGATCTACAATCTACGGCTGGCTTAAGTCCAGTTTATCCGTAGATATAGATTTAGATTGAGATAAATTCCTTGTATTTTCGTACTAGATGATCTGTGAAGCCAAAAAGCAGATTTATTTCAAACATTTAATGACTAAATTAGTTTAATAGACAAACTCAATTATGTATCGTTTTTATGCGTTAAACTTTTATATGGGCTTCATGATCTTCCATGGAAGCCGCCATGTTTCTTTGTTTGTTGCGAACAATCATTAAATTAATCTAGTGACGTCACTATAAAGTAATTGTTGTGAGCTTTTATAATTAACTGGCGTTTCTACCGATGAATATATCAATAAATTATTTACGTCTTTAAATAATTTTGTATTTAACAGTTTGGTAAAAAAAAGTAGATTATTCTCTACATAATTACGCATTTTACAGCTCTACACTTTGTGCAGATGCTCTCATTTATCCAAACAGACAAACACAAAAAAGATAAATATACAGACTTCTCCAATTTAGTAGAATGTTAATAGATAGATATTGATTGTCTAACGTGTTTGGGTGGAAAAGGCATTATGATTAGGAATGCAGTTGATCAAATACAATTTTCAGGTTAAAAAAATTATTAATTGTTAATGAATGGGAGAAGTAATGAAATACGTACAGCAGAGGTGGAGTAGATAAGCGTGTGGGTTGAGCCGTTTAGACGGCCCGAATTCGAAACATTAAACATTTTAACATAATATTCCATTTTGTTTTCGTTAAATTTTGCATTGATTAAGATTTTTTTTAACAAGTTTTTACTTTACTTGCATCCACTGTTGTGCTTTTGTTTGTTCATAGTGCTTTTTGTAGAAATTTTCCGCTTTATTATACACATGCTGATGTCGTTTAATTGTTGCGCATTTTTTTCCTACTCGGTTCTATTCTATTTTGAAAATTTAAGTATTTTAAGAAAATAATTAAAAATTTATTTCTTAAGCGCGATCGGACTGGAAGTACCTTTCCCGTTACTGTTATATAAGAATATACAGACAAGTTTAGGGGAAATCACTCCCGTTTTATTTTTACAAAGTTTAAATTTTTAAATCTCAACATTTCATTCCAGTTACCTTTTACCCTCCCGACCTTCCACCAGTAGTCACAGTAAACAACAAAACAGTGAGAAATGGACAAATATTGAGGCTCGACAAATCCAAAACTATGGTAAACGGCGAATGTACTGTTGAAGGTGGCAATCCAAAAGTGTTAAGTATCACCCTGCAATGTGCATTTGATGGAGTGGCTGGTAAAGTAACAATCAACTCATACATCGCAGAGTTTGAAATCACCTACAACAGCACCATTCATACTATTGCATGTGTTTGCTCTGCATATCATGTGACTGGGCTATACACATTGACAACTTCTTTCGTCTTTAACTCAGGTAAATCATTTGACGAGAAATTAGTTTACCTTGTGTTTTTAATTTGAGGTTTAGCTGCATTTTTTCAATTGAAAATAATTCACCTGAAATTATTTTGGGTACTGTAAAACTATAATCTTTTTATGTTGATTTTTTTTTTACTAAAATCTCTTTTTTTTTCTCCTTTTAAACTCCTTGTAACTTTTTTTTTGCATTACAGACTCATTAAGTTTATTACATACTAATTAGGCATTGACGATTATTGAAAAAAAAACTTGAGGTGGTCTAAGGATTGCAGTGTACATTATGTTCTCTTGCCGCTCGTTCAACTAAAGTTTGGAATAGTTTTGTTTCATGAGTATTCAACTTTAAGGACAGGCACCACGGATAAATTTTTTTTTTATTTAACACATTTCTGGTTGTTTAATAAGTTCATATAATTATAGTTGTTAAACTATAGACAAAAATAATATATAGCCGTCAATAGCAGTACTGGTTGTCATGGAAACCGGGAAAAGGTGTGAAAACTAACACCTTTTCAAATCGCTAAGGCTTTGTTCCCATAAGAGATTTTAAAAAGCAGATGAAAGATTTAGGTTTCACAAACCAAACTATACATTTCTACGTTTACTCATTGCGATAGCTTGTACTCAATTTTTAATACAAATTTTTACGTAAATGTATGTGCAAAAAAATATCAATATTTCCTAAAGTATTGTAGCAAACTTAATGTACAAACGTAGTTTTGTATATGGTATCATGCTGAATGCACGTGGAATGTTTTATTCTTGTATGACAAAGGGTTCCAAAGCCTTAGCGATTTGAATGTTGAATTTTGAGTAAAAATGCAAAGTTGAGAAAACGTGAAAAGAAGAGCGGGAAAAGGCACGGCGTGTTTTCTCTTATAGAAAACAGAAAAAAACGTCTTGTTATATGTGGTAGAACCATTTGTCTAATAAAATACGCTTTGATTTATGTTGTAAGTTTTAGACAGAATGTTTCTATGTAAGCAGAAAATATGTATACAACAGGTAATGAATGTATGACTATTAAGTATTACACATCCTATCAATCGAGCGGTATTCTCAGAACAGCTATTTTCAAACCAGATCAAGTTTTGTTTGTTAGCCGGTCTTCTCACTTCAAAACAATGTCTTTCTCTACTCAAATTGTAGCTTACACAAGTTTATTGCCTTATGATAATAGCCTACAACACAACACTGGGTACAACGCTTGGGGCTAGACACGCCCCCTCCACCCCACCCCATCGCTGGATAGTGCGTGAAGAACCGATGAGCCATGAATGATTCTGTTATATTTTATATCTTGGATCGTGAGATCTATTGAGAGACAACAAACGCTTTTACGCTGGGAGACTCTTTATAAATGGCCGAAATTACTTTTTGGGTATATAGAAGAAATCATTTAAAGCAGTTTTGGTGTTCTTTAGTTCTTGTTTATTTTATACATTTCTTTTATTTATTCACTCTGATTTTAGGTAGCAACGCAGTGATCTGGAATGTCCTGTTGTTGACGTCTCTGGTCCTGGGTAGGACAGTCCTGTCCTGATCTTCAACCTAAGCGAGATTTTTCTTAACGGTCTAAAACTTTTATATAACCAACATATAAGTGCATAAAATAATAGTTTTTTTTGTATTTTAATTTCTATTATACATCGCATTGGACTTTTTTATGATAATTTTTAAATTTAATATGACTTTTATCGCAATGACCTTTGTTACTATAATTAGGAGCATATTACAAAATGGTAATACACAGAAAGTACACATCCAAGAACTGAGATTGATAACACATTTTGATGGAATGGTGATGTTGACAAAGAAAATTAAATACTTAAAAGCAAAAAAAAAAAAGCACAAAACATAAGCATGTCGTTTGTTGATTTCCCGTTCGTGCCCAAGACACGGGCGACAGAATAGAAATCTGTTTCAATGCACTAAGCACGAAGGGATAATGTGGTCAACACATCGCTTTAACGTCTTTGTTTCCTAAAAGTGAATCAGGAACTCATAACAGCTGGATACACCCAAGGCATCATCAGCTCTTTTATATATTTTAGCGACTTAAGCTTTATAAAAGAAAATAAATTTGTTTTACTATCTTTTAGCTTGCAATTAGAAAGTTCTATTTAATTAATGAATCGGACGCTAACAATGCTGCCACTGAAGGTAGCTCATGACAGGCGCTTATTGCCCATTCCCTCTCTATCCACACTTTCCACCTCCTCTTCCCCCCGCCCCCCCCCCCCGCCCCCCGTTGAGAGTAGTTGTCTACGACGACAGTTAACAAACGATGGCAAACAGATCACAGATCTTGTTACCTCCCATTGTTTTCAAATTGTCATATTTGTAATAAAACAAATGTAAACAACTTTTATAATAACAAGCTTTTAAATGCAATGAAAAAAAGAAAACGTACAAATAGTTTCGCTGTCTGTCACTCTATTTGTTTCGTAACACTATAGGGAAAACACAAGGAAAGTAAAAATATTCATAATCATTCGGAAAACGAAACGTGACGTCACATGGAAAATTAGTAGGAAATGTGCAGAGTTTCTTTCATGCATCTCTTCGGGTAGGGAGCGAAGCCTCCCCACCCCCTAGGAAGAACTCCAACTCCCCCCCCCCCCGAAGAAATACAATTTATATAGAAAATATATACTTTTAGCAGTGTCAGTACTTGACATTTTCGGGGGGGGGGTCGTTTAAATTTTCTGTGGAGGGGTCGGACTCTGATAAAAATATATATTTCTATAAACATTTTTGTCGTTATTATAGAGGGTGGTAGACTTTTTTCGGGGGTCTCTGCCTCCCCACCCATCCCCTCACTATCCTGGAGAGTTACCTAAAAGAAACTCTAAAATGCGACTTTTGTCCAGTTTGAGATTAGGTTCAAGGTTTAGGGGTATGACCACCATTTAGTATGAATGTGCCGATTCTGGATAAAAATGGCATTGTTCGTTTCCGGTTAATTTCGGTTTTATTTTTGGTTTAGAGAAAAAGACAACACTATCAACCCAGTGCCAGTTGTTGCTCTCCCTCAACGGGCCATTTATCTCGTCTTTAATAAAAGCTAAAATTATTTATTATTTTCACTGCATTTGAACAATGGTTTATATAATTTCTATATTTGTTGTTTTTTCCACCTTTAGTATTTTGTTCTAAATGAAGCTGACACTAGATCTATACAGGTTTAGAGAAAAAAAATGTGTTAAAAAATCTCTAAAAGACAGTTGTTTGCCCCTTCTGCGTAGTCGAGACTCGGGCAAACAACAGTGATCAAACAACGTTCAGCATGAACCACACAGAGTTTCTTCCAGGCATCTCTTCGGGGGGGGGGGGGGGGGGGGGGGCGAAGCCCCCCCGAAAAATTTTTACCGCCCCCCCCCCCGAATGAAATGAAATTTATATAATTTATATAGAAAATATATACTTTTATCAGTGTCCGCCCCCCCGAAGAAAGTTTACCGCCCCCCCCCCCGAAGATTTCAAGTGCCCCCCCGGAGAAAAAAGTCTGGAAGAAACACTGGAACCACAGTTCGGCTCATCTGATGATCACATCTAGCTAGTTATCTCCCCTTCTGTTTTTGAATAGAGTTATCTATCGTGTGATATAATTTTGTTATCTGTTCCAAGCTTTATAGCGCCAAGTATCGGAGATAAGAAGATACATCAGGAACAAAAAGGGTCTGCTCGTTACCCGCGCCAGCTTTTTTTTACTTGAAGCTGCAACCTTCACGTGGTCTCGGACCATGTGTACTTTAATCTCCTCCATTGCTTGCTCGTAAAGTCACAATATAGTATCTTTAGTTTTATTCGTTTTTCTTATTTATTTTGTAGAACTTCTTGCCTTCCATACCTCGAAACATGACAACATCAAGCTTAAAAGTAAGATACCACTCCCTTGGATTGCAACGGAAACATGGCAGAGTCCCCCCCCCCCCTCCTCCTTTTTAAAGAAAGTTATGCGCCATTGAGTCCATTGACTGGGATTTCAGCCTGTTTTACAAGCTTTTATTTAACTCACTTCCTCTGTCTGTCTGTCTATCTGTCTAGATCGAAACGCCGGAGCGAAAATTCGGACAGTTCTACTTGACCGATACGATTCACAGTTGGCACGTGGGTCAAGATATGAAGACAATGCAATCTGAAACTAAATTTGACTTAATTGGATGCCTAATTAATTTTTTATGAATTAATTAAAATTTGGACCGAATTAGTAGGCATGTCTATCCAACCACACCACACGCGTCATCACGTTCAATAGCTGCGCCGTCACGTTAAAAGGCTGCGCCATCACGTTCAATAGGCGCGCAATGGTTTTTAGTCATGTAACTGCATTGTAAATAAAACATGTAAAGTACTGAAAAAAAATTCATATAAAACGTTTTAATAACAAGCTTTTATGTACTAATGCGCTAAAAAGTAGAAAATAAATTATAGACTACTATTTAAATAACTATAAAGAAAAGCGTGGGTGTCTTTCTTAACATTAGTAAACGTATCTAATAGATACTAAAGTGACCCACGCTTTTCTTTATAGTTATTTTAATAGTAGTCTATAATTTATTTTCTACTTTTTAGTGCATTATTACATAAAAACTTGTTATTAAAACGTTTTTTATGAATTTTTTTTTACAAGCTTTTATTTAACTCACTTCCTCGTCAGTCGTCAGTCCGAAACGCCGGAGTGAAAATTCGGACACTTCTACTTGACCGATACGATTCACATTTGGCACGTGGGTCAAGACATGAAGACAATGCAATCTGAAATTAAATTTGACTTAATTGGATGCCTAATTAATTTTTTATGATTAATTAAAATTTGGACCGAATTAGTAGGCATGTCTATCCAACCACACCACACGCGTCATCACGTTCAATAGCTGCGCCATCAGGTTTAATAGCTGCGCCATCACGTTCAATATACGCGCAATGGTTTTTAGTCATGTAACACTGTTGTAAATAAAACATGTAAAGTACTGAAATTTTTTTTCATAAAAAACGTTTTCATAACAAGCTTTTATGTAATGATGCACTAAAAAATAGAAAATAAATTATACACTACTATTTAAATTACTATAAAGAAAAGCGTGGGTCTCTTCTCAAATATTAGTAAAGGTATCCAATAGGTACTAAAGTACTAAAGTGACCCACGCTTTTCTTTATAGTAATTTAAATAGTAGTGTATAATTTATTTTCTACTTTTTAGTGCATCATTACATAAAAGCTTGTTATTAAAACGTTTTTTATAAACTTTTTTTATAAAAAAAATTTCTTTTCTTTATAGTTATTTAAATATTAGTCTATAATTTATTTTCTACCTTTTAGTACATTAGTACATAAAAGCTTGTTATTAAAACGTTTTTAATGAATTTTTTTTTTCTTTTTCGATTTGCTTCCTTAGCCTTTGTCCAACCAAGAACAAACAAGGCTGCTGTTGTTTGATTTTATAGTTGTCTCTCATAGAAGAGTGTCTGTCCCCAGTTAATGAACCTTATCTCCCCGAGGGCACTCGCGAATTTTCGGTTTAGTAACCATGAGCTTTAACGACTCGACAACGCCAACTCCTGCACTGGATTGCAAATTAAGCAATACATAATTTATCAAGAGAAATGTATACAAAAACATTCTCTCCCACACCGGGCCCCTGGACCCAGGAAAGAACCTCTTAAGTGTGGAAGCCACTAGTCGATAGGTTAGATCTTGCGCTACCCACTAAGTGGCCGCCCCATGGCAGGACCACCTGTACATCTCGATCCATATCCAGTTAGTCTGGGTTAAAACCAACCCAGATCTGAGGAATGGCCACGCAACTGGCAAGGAGACCACCCAACCAAAAATGTTATTACATGCAAAAAAAAATGAAATTTGGTGAGGCTTTACTTGTAGGAACAGGGAACAAATTGATGTAATATACTAACCGGTCGTATTTTATAGGCTCAGTAAGATCCATCAGAAACAGATTTATTATTTTAGAGAGAGCTCATGTTAAACATTGTTTGACTCGAAGTTTACTTCCTGCCTTCTTAAAAAGTTTGGATTAAAGCGCCATTTGTAAGCAATTAGACCGATCACTCATACAAACACACTTTGAAGTAAGTGGGGTTTTTTAGCCTGTTTTGTTAAGATTCAGTGATTTATTTCCTGAAACTAATTGATGAGGGACGGGGAGCTTTTAAGTTCTTTCATGTTCGGCAAATAAAATGGCTTGTCATTTTAACACAATTTCCATTGATTGCTTGGGTTATTATTCAATGATGTCGAAATTGTGTGGTGTCTGACCTAAAATTATTTGATTGAATTATTATTACCTTCCTGCATCTGTCGATATAAAAACCATAGCCAGATAACGAGCAAATCATCAATAAAACTTGTCACAGGAGTTAAAGTAAGTATCTAACTGTTTCTGTATTTTATTGTTAAGTTATATTAAAATGTCCAGTTATATTATGACGTCGCTAAGCACAGGTAATGTATGTCGTTTTTGTTATGTCTTTCTATTGTATTTCTTAATCATTTTACAGACCAACTTATCATTCGCTGCATTATGTTTTCACTTTAAAAATTCTAAAATTAACCTTATACATGTAACTAATATTTACAAGACTAACATTGGTCAGAATAGTGTAAACTACGTACTAGATCAAAATATCCATGTTTTATTGGTTTTGTTTAAAGGATTATAAAGAAAATTCGGCTTACAATTAGTGTCGTTAACTCTGACGCCTATAATCTCAGTTGTCTTATAAGCGTTTACATACAGCAAAGCGGCCACACAGGCAAGACTTTATGTGTTATTCTGTGCGTAGGGCAACATAGAAAATAAACAACATTAAACGGGTTAGAAAAAACAACAATAAATTGTGACGTGGCCTAGATGTTCATAGCGAAAGCGTGTAGGCACGGAGAGATTGGGTGTGAGAGTCGCCTCCCCTGACAAGTGTGTGAACTCGAGTGTGTAAGCAGTGTGTGGTATCGTCAACTTAGGGTAGCATGTAGTCAGTGTTTTCGTCAATGTT